GCGGCCCTGCAGCCACAGCAGGGAACGCGGGCGCCGCGACCAGAGCCGACCCCCAAGAGCAGCTCCTGGCCAGGAGGCGGGCAGAGTCCGTTCAGCAGCACGGCCGCTCGGACGCCGTGGTGGAAATGCAGCGTGTGTCGCTCTACAACCCTTGACGCCTTGTGTCAAAGGCGCCGGAAACAGAACGGAGTCGCTAGTGCCGAGAAGACCCCGACGCATGCGGTCGGGGAAGACCACCAAGAGGGAGTTCTTGTGCGTGGGTCCTGAAAAGGAGAAAGACTCCCCAGAGATCACAGCCTTGCATTAAACATGGCCCTGCCGGGACGTCGGCCCGGCAACGGCCCGTCCAATCTCCGGTCCGCTTCACCCTTGCTGTGGATCTTGGTAGCTAAGGATGGCCACTTCGAAAACGACGATGCCGTCTCCTCTCTTCTTTCTTTAGGAAGGCTGAGGCGGAAGGATGGCCGGAGCCCCGCAGGTCGAGGCTGCGGGGGCCGGGAGCGGCCACGGCACTCCAGTCTGGGCGACCGAGCGAGACTCCAACTCAAAAAAAGAAAAGAAAGCTTCGTCTTCCTTCGCCGCCCTTCACGGCAGTGCGTTCACATTGCAACGCTCTGTTCTCAAGCTTTCAGAGGCCTCTCTTCGCTGCTTGCTTAGGTTGACAGCTGAGGAGGGCCCAAATCGGAATGAGACGTGGCTAGCGGCATCATTTGTGACATCATAGACGTTAGTGGTCGTGTGACCTTAGAGGTCTTGTCATGGTGTGGCTGAGGAGGCCGTGGTGGGCATGGGAGCCCCTGGTCGTCTGGTGCCTGTCTTGGCCTGCCTTGGACTCCGTGGGTTAGGATGACCTCGTACAGGGCCAGACCGCGAACTGTTTGCAGGCTCAAACCCTGAGATCTGTCTTGGCCGGTCAAGCAACCAAGACTCAGCTCACAGGTCGTTCCCATGACGACACCTTTCCTTCTTATATTATCATGGGTAGAATTAATTGTTATTGGAGGACTGTAGCGAAGCCATCATTCCCAATAGTATTTGGAAATGAGGTGGTAAGAATGCTCCTTGCCTGCTTAACAAATAAGGAATGGAGTAGATCACCTCAAAAGAGAACAAATAATTCCCAGACTTGGCGTGAAATCTTGTGACAAAAAATGTGAAATTGTCCCCCTCCCATAACTGTGCCAGCTGTACAATGGTGAAATCTCCTTTCCCACTGAGGGCATAATGGCCAGATTCTGTAACTTCTTAGCTACTGAAAGTTTCATTTTGATAGTTAAGATTTTCTTCTGGCATTTGGTTTCTAGATTTAGCGTTAAGAAAGTAATCCCGTGCCTTTGGGAGGCTGAGGTGAGTGGATGGCCTGAGCCCACGGGTTCGAGACCTGCCTGGGCAATTTGGCCAGACCTCATCTCTACAATAAATCAAAAATTAGCCGGGTGTGGTAGCGCGTGCCTGTAGTACCAGCTACTTGGAAGGCTGAGGTGGAAGGATCGCCGGAGCCCAGCAGATCAAGGCTGCGGTGGCCGGGAGCGGCCACTGCACTCCAGTCTGGGCGACAGAGTGAGACTCCAACACAAAAATTAAAAAAAAAAAGTTCATCTTAAACTTCAGTTTCAGGCTCAGTTCAAAGCCTCCTTCTCCCCACCCTACAGAGCAGCCCAGACCCATCCCTAGCTCTGGTTGCTTGGAAATTGGTAGAGAAGTTGGTGTTTTGCTGTTTCCATTCATTATTTCTTCCTTCTGTGCACTAGTTCCTTACTGTGTTGGGGTGAGGAGGGTTGAGGAACCAACAGAGGACAGGTTTCCCTAAATGGGCCAGATTACAGTCTACATGGTTGGTCTCTCCAGTACAGTTCTTGCTATGTCTCTGGACTTGAGAGCAGTGGCTCCCACCTGCCTCCTGACAAGGGACTCTCTTTAACGCATTCCTAGGCAATAACCTCAAGATTGGGGGGTTCAGGGGCCGGTTGCCTGGGGTAAACGTTCTGCCAACAATGGTGTGACCGTGGGCAAACTTTTAAACTTCTCTGTGCTTCAGCTTGTTTATCTGGGAAGTAGAGATGATACAGTGGTGCCTCTATCTTGCCGGGTTGTTGTGAGGATTCAAGTTCTGAGCCCTCACATGCTATTCGCTCATAAAACGTGAGGGGGCAGGTTGAAAGGTTGAAACCACCTTCTACCCGTGGGGGCGGGGCAGTGGTTTTCAAAGTGTGTTCTGTGGGATCAGCAATGTTAGCAACAGGTAGAACTTGTTAGAAATACAAATTTTCAGACCCACCCCAGATGTACTGAATCAGAAACTCTGGGATGGGGCATTCTGTGTTTTAACAAACTCGCCAGGTGATAGCAATGCACCCTTAATGTTAAGAACCTGTGGCACAGGGGACTAAGAGTGTGGACTCTGGAGCCATAGTACTTAGCGGTGTGACCTTGGGTAAGTTATGTAACCTCTCTGTGCCTCAGTTTCCTTATAAAATGGGGATACAATGATTCCTACCTAATAGAGCTGTTGTGAGGATTAAGACAGTTAATACACGTGTTAGGGCCTAATAATAATAAGTATTCTTATTTTGTTTTCAGTGAGAACCTTTGAAACTCACATTCTCAGAGCCTAGGGGGAGGGAGAAGCCTTGCTACATAAAATGTGGTTTCCAAAGCAGCAGCATCACCTGAGAGCTTATTAGAACTGCCCCACCTTGATCTAATGCATCAGAATCTGCATTTGAACACAGTTGTAATGTTGAGTAGCAAAGGGGTATCATACAATTCAACTCTAGATCTTACTCAATCCTAGATTCTTATTCTAGATTTTTGCTCAATTCCAGAGTAAGAATCTTAAGAATCTCCTGGGAGTTGGAACCTATATATTTAAAAGCTCCATAATTAAAAAGCTCCACAGTTGATTCTGGCATTCAGCAAAGACTAAGAAACCCTAGTGAACTTGGGACCACATACATCATTAAAAAAAAAAAAACTCAAAAGCACCTGTGTTACTAATGGTGGCAGTTTCTAGACATATATAAAGTGGTATTTATTCTAAGAAAAGCAGGTTAGTATGGGAGAACGTTGGGTAAGGTTGAAAACTAGTTAAGACTCTAACCTTGTGTTCTGTATGATTGTAGTCCTTGTGTATGATTTTTAGAACATTCAGTAAGAAGTTATTGAATGACAGTTCCTTATCCAGGTAGAAATGGCCCTGTGGGTCTTCTAAAATCTATTTTGATGAAACATTTTTTGGAAATCATATTTTAAGGTAGTAAAGGCCATTATCAAGCATGCCATGGCAAAACCCTGTTGCTAAAATTGCATTAGAATATGGCGCTGATATGTAGGGGCTGAGTTGATGAATAAAGCTGGTAACGCAAAATGAGATAATCACTCAGAACTCTAGAAACTTTGCAAAAATTGACAGCAGTACCTCTGACAGAGAGTTTATAAGTTCGGTTGCTTATGAAATCATCCTCTGAGCACTTACCTAGCAACATTGTGTTTACTGGTACCGGGTATATTTCTAGGGGTACAAAAACCATAAGACAGATATTTTTCTTCTTTGATTACCTCAGGCTGAAGTGTTCTCTTCTCCCTCTAAATGCTGACGGTTATGTGCTAGAGCCTTGTGACACATTATCTCATAAATTCTGAAATTTGTTACTATCTTGTACTTTTCTCATCTTTACCATTGATTGTTTATTTCCTTACTCAGTAATATTATTCTTCCTCAGAATGAAGCCAGGTGGCAATCTCTGTGGCAGCCAGATGAGTTAAGCTAACTCTTACTTTTAGGAGGCAGCTCTTTGGAGATCCCCGCAAAGCTGGAAGTAATTTGCCAAACCCGTAACTTTGGTAGTTAGAAGATCCTGTTTTTTATTTTCCCTGTAGCCCCATTGCACTGCCAAAAGTCTAGCTCAGCCTCTCAGCTGCCTCTACAGTTCATATCATGTTCTAAAGCAGAAGCAGCCCCACATAGACAAGAGAGAAAAAGTAACACAGACAGGTGGAACAGAGCTAGATGCCTTAAATGCACAAGTATCAGTAAAGAAAAAGGAAAGAATCAAATATTCCAGTTAAAGCTCCTAAGCCACATCATTTTAAAGACAGCTAAAACTAAAGGATATGCACAATTTGAAAGTTAAGGAATGGAAAAAGTTAGATGAAGCAAGTGCTAATCAAAAAAGGCCACTGTAGCAATATTAACAAAAGCAACAAAAAACTTTAAGGCAAAAGTCTTTGCTGCAAATAGAGGGCCACTTCATAAAGAAGAAATAGTCAATTCACTAGGAAGATATGAGTCTAGATCTTCATGCACCTAAAACAATCACCTTAAAATATGGAAAGCAAAATTAACAGAATTACAAGGGGAAACAGACAAATTCTTAATCAGAGCGGGAGACTTTCACATGCCTTTCTCAGTAGTAGATAGAACAATGGAAAGTCAGTAGAATATAGAATGTTTGGATAATATGATTAATAAACTTGACACAAATCGACACTGCACTCAAACCAAGACCTTGCCTTCTCCTAACTTCTATGGAAGAGCACACATTTCAGATTGTGAGATTTTTTTCTTATTCATTCTTCCACTGGGTGCACACATGCAAGCAAGGGTAGGAAAAAAATCATACAACACAGACCTGCTCCACATCATAAAAATTTTTTTTCAAGCTCATATCCTGAATATGCATATTATAAAATTAACTTTCATTCACCCCTGATCTTATCAGTTTGCTGCTGTTATTACAGGTGATATTCTTTTCACTGCTTAATTTTGCAAATTGTTTTGATGGCAAGTTTATTGTCTAGACTTATCACCCTTCTTGTTAGGACACAGACGTAAAAATACCAATTTTTTTTTTTTACAGTCAATTATGTCAATCTTACGGGCAGGATTTAGGGGACTGTTCAGGAGCTTTGCACCCACAGTTTAAAACCTTTGTGAGAACCTCAGATTTCAGACCAATTAGTGCTACATAAATATGCCAAATTACAAGGAAAAAATTCTTTGGATTCAAATGTAATCACCAGTGTCTTGCAAGTAGTAAGTATTCAACAAATGAATGGTATCTATTACAAGGGTGTTTCTACTATAAGGGACATTACATATTGTCCATCTTAGAAGCGAGAAGACTGGTGTGTGAAAACACTATCAAATGCTTAAGAAAAATTTGATTTTTTTAAGGAAAAAGTTTTAAGATCTTTGTCCTATAAGAAGCATTTAAAAAATATGAAAATGCTTTTTTTTCTCTAAAGAGTAAAACCAAGACCCAATCTGAAATTTAGGTTTTTACTGTGCCATCATCTCTATTACAATAGGCACACTTCTCACAATCAATATAGTATATACAAATAAGTAAGGCAAAGACATTTGGAGAAATTCCATTTATTGTGGATGCATTTTCACAATATACTTTTATTGCAGCAATTATCAGTGAAAAATATCAAGTGTTTATAAAATTTTTAGGAATGACAGATTCACAGAACATGCTAGTCAGCTTGCAGTTTTATCTCTTAAAGATAACAGAGAACAGTAATCAAACAAGTAAACATGGAATTTGTTTTTCCAAAGATTAAATCCAAACTGAACAAAATTCTACCCTAAAACTTATTCCAACCAAATATTGGAATAAAAGTCAGACTCAATACATTCTCTTCTCAACTGTAGACTTTGTAGAAAAATATATAATAGTGATCAGGAGAAGCTCTTGTTCAAAAGTACAACAAAGCAATGTTACCTCCTCACCATAGGTCTTAATTCAAACTTTGATCCGTTTCACTCTAATGATGGGAGTCAATGCTAAAATAGGGAGCTTCTGTTTGTAAATTCTAGTTTACCTTATCGTAGACTCATGTCTACTCTGTCATGAGTAGATTATTTGTGCGATCTTGGTGGCCTTCTTTCCTTTGGCCCAGTTTTGCTAATAGCTAGAGGATTCAAATATTCTTTACTGATTTATGAGGGAAATACTTTACAAGGCAGTGGTCACTCCTCACACCAGCCCTGACCTGGTTAGCTCTTCTGGGGGAATATGTAGATAAGAAAATCATTATTGAGAAGCTCCCTCAGTGTGTCAGGAATTGAGACTAAGACAATTTTGGCCGAGGTATGAGTTTTTAAACTACACTTCTTGTATATGGTTATACTAGAACATTTTGCCAAGACATTAGGGTAATCTTTTAACATCTATTGTGAACATTAAAGACTTACAAGATATAATAAAACCTGGATTGTGTGTGTAAAAATGGTTAATCCATACAGACTTGGGGGAGAAAGTAAAATCAGTAAAAGCTGTATATATTTTTGAAATTTCATCACATTATCAACTTATGACAAGAATCAATGACTAATAAAGGTAGAAAAGTTTAATTTTTAAAAAATGTTTCAGAGTCTATAAAGATGAAAGTACTGTCATGGCTCCTAAACACTGGGTTTTGTTCACTTTACTTCTCTTGCTTCCAGACATTAGCCAAAGGTGGTCATTGTTTAGACCCACACATGGAATTTTAATCTGTACGATATTGTCACTAAAATTCTTTACACTTTTAAATTTAAATTTAAAATTACTTAAAATTCTTTTAATTTTAGAGAAGAGACCTTAGATATCAGTTAGGCCAACCTATTGTAAACTTTATTGTTACAAATAAGCAGGCTTTGAGCTTGATCCAGATGATAGATTTAATACAATTCACACTGGATTTCAAGACTGCTTTTAATTATAAACTAAATACTATGTCTTATAGAAAATTTCAGCTCATTTTGATACGTCTTAACTCTCTTTTTTTCCAATACTTTTTTTCTTACAGGTCACTGGACATTGAAAACATATCGATAACTATCTGCCATGTTTCTCCTGGCAAATATGAAATATTAATTCAATAGTGTGACTTTTAATTTTTAAAAAGCTGTGATATTGGCTAGTTACAAGGACATACTACTAAATATAATAGTCTAGCACATAAAAAAGCATTCTATCATTAGTGTGTCTGTATATGTGTATGCACATACATACATAATCAGGTTATCTAAAATGTGGTTCAGGCTATTATCACTACCAAAGAAATACACAAAGCAACCAATCTAAAAAATCAGTACCACTGTCAGCTAACATAATAATCTAATTTAGATATGAATCAGCATGAAAAAAGTAAGACCTTAACAGTACATCTTTTTTTTTTTTTTTAAAGACAATCATTATTGCAGTATATCAAATCTGAAATGGGTTACTTTCAGAAAGTGTTATAATTGCCTACTAAGATAATTTCTTCCATGCTTTATTATAAAGTGCAGAAACAATGTCTTCTGTATTTCAAAAAAAAAACAAAAACTATGGTTCATTTTTCTAGATGCTGCACACATTCCGCAGGCAATTCTAAACTTAAATCTTTTGTTGACTTCCGATGGTTGGTATCACTGTTCAGACACAGAGTTATGATGATCATTAGAAAAGTCTCTATTTCACAGCATGGGTTTCTTTAGAAACAGGCTCCTGTGCAAAGGCAGTACTTTTACCATGAACATCTCTAGACTGTGATTATTAAATATAGTGATAATATACATGGGTTTACTGGGATATGGAAAAAATAAAACAAAAGAAAATGAACCCAATTTAGTAAATCAACATAAATATAAAACAGAGTAAATTAGTCCTCTGCAACTGAGCTGGTCCAGCGTCTTGAGCTTGGGTTCTTTCTTGAACGGTCTCAAACCTGCTAAGAGAAGATAACTTTTAATAGGCAGCCTGCAGATTTGAGCCAGATGGTTTTTGTCAGAAGAAGAAAACAAAAGGAATAGTATGGCAGGACTAAATATTTATGAAAAGAAAGATTTCTATGGGCCTACTACTCAAATATGATCTTCTATCCTTTTTTTCTGTTTTTTTCACTTCCCTTCCTTTCTTTCTCCTGTATGTTCCCTTTTCCTATCTTAACATTTGCCCTTGCTCATGGTATTCAGATTCAAGTAAGTGTTTTGTTTCGACTCCACCATAAGGGCCGGGAATCTATTTTATGTATTCCAAAACAGGCACATGTGACTGAGTAGCTTAGTCAGGGCTCCCTCAACATATGATAGTGTCGTAGGATATGTTTAGCTGTCTCCCAGTTTTTACCCAGTAATCTCTATTTCTTTACTTCCTTTTCTTAAACCCCTCCCCTGGGACTTATCTGACCCATAGTCCTATTCTTATACCATCCTTTGCCTGCCCCAGCTAGCTGCTAAAAATCCTTGCTGAGGTATTAACAAATATTAATGTGTTGTGAATTTGCATTTTCAACTGTTGCATATTTTCATTTCAAAAGAATGACTACAGGACAAGTAGTCAACTACATTTTGGAGCAAAGGAACTATCTCATCTGCTACTTTACAAACTCACCTCTGTCTGGTGGTTCTATTACTACTACTATGGAAAGAGAGTAGCAGTGTAGACCAGGGAAGAGGGGGAGGTATGCTGAAAACTCACTATGTCATCCTCCCACCTTGGACCTCCCTGTTGTACAACTCCAGGAAGTACCACGCATGTTATATGGCATGTGAGTGGTCTCTGAGTCCTACCAGTCTAGGTCATCTTTGCTCCACTTTCCAGAACTCTGGCTATGAGGAATTTCATCCAGAGAGACTATTATACCAGTGACGATGGGCTATGGACAACTGACGTTCCCTACTCAGATTCTATAAACACCTGGACTGCCACTTCTGAGGGGACAGATACCTGTGCTAGAGGAATCATAAAGGCTTAGGCCAACAGGTTCATATTTTAAGCAATAACAAAAAAATTATTTACTTTCCTGCCACCAAGATACAATCCTACAGAGAATTTAAAAACTGTACATTTTCTGTTGAGTATGTATAGGAAGGCATTCAGTGCATTCTGCACTCATCCTTAAGAGAAAGCAGCCTGTCTAATGGTGAGAATGTGGGCTCAGATCAGACTACCTGAGTAGCCATCCAGGATGCTAATTTGCTGGGTGACTTTGGGAAAGTTACTTCATCTCTCAGTGCCTCATTCTCCTCAGCTGTAAAATGGGAGTGATACTTGTCTCGCATGATGGTAGGAGGATCCCATGAGCAAGTGTGGGTTAAGGAGGCAGAAGGGTGTCTGGCGTATGGCAGATGCTCATTGTTAGCACTTGGTAGTGGTGATAATTATGACTAGGTGCATTCAGCACATTTAGCACTGACTTAGAGAGCTGGGCTTACTTAAAAGTTACCTCAAGTACAGAGGTTGGGCTAGTGGGTTTTATTGGAACAAAAGAGCAACATGCAACTCATAGATGGAGTCATGCGTAATACTTAGACAGCTGCGATACACTCACAGCATGCAGAAAGGAGGAAAGGGGAAGCAATTCTCTCCCTGCAGTGGCTTGAAGGAATTCTTTAGTGGCCTGTGATGTGTTCTTTCATCCTGAGTTTGCTTCAGATGTTCTTCTGTCTCCAGAGTTCAAACTGACCCCGAAGTGCTTATTGTTGATGTCTGATTTTGCTTTTAAATTATCCCTCTATTAAAGCAGAAGACTTGGTCTGTGGCTTGAAATGGGGAAGGCTACAGTTAGGAGCTGAATGAGCTCACTGTACAAGGGGTCTTATTTTTAGTCTCAGCATCATTTAGGTGTTTTTCCATTCTTGAAGAATGAGCATAAGACCAAAAGTAAAAGAGGACTCCGTGCATTCGGGGCCATTAGTTCTTACAGGTTAGAAAGTCTTGCCTTACTTTTGAATATTATGCTAATTTTTGCCATAACAATCTTGAGTCCTCGGCTGCTGGCAACAGCTATATAATCTCCTAGAATGGTTCCAGGAATCAGCTTTGGAGCCACTCAGGGAGATGGATGTTTTCCCCTAAGTGACCTTTAAATGACAGTAGCACCGGGCTGGGACCTTGTAAGGAAATGCAGACCATGGTCCCCCATGGCCTTCTGTTGTCAAATGTTCCTACCTCTGTGTTGTACGGAGAATGTCTTCCTGGGAACCACTCCACAGGTTTGGGCTATTTGTGTTGTACAACTGACAGACCTGCAATGCCAAAGGCTCGATGAACTTTTCCCTTCACTGTACAGGTCCTTCTAGAAACTGATGGGCATGCAGGCACAGAGTTGTGGGTTGATAGTTCTCATTTGACACCAGGACGACATACCGCAGGATACAACAGAAAACACACCTCTGAAATACTAGTCCTCCCAGTAGATTACCTTAGTGGGGGAAGTGACCTTATCCACAGATTGCTTTTCCCAGAGGTTCCGCTTGCCAGATACATCTCCTGGCCTCAAGTCCTAATAGAGAGAATGCAGAACAAAATTGATGGGTGGCCATTTATATTTCCTGGCCAGTTCTAAATCAATGGCCACATCTATGACTTGTTTGTTTGAATCAACTGGTTTAATACACTTTACCCCAGTGATCCATATTGGATGGAAGTGAAAAGAACATAGCTGCTGTTTGATTTTATGCAGATTTTGACATGTCTTATAAGAATGGGCTGGGACTACAGCATTTGGGTCCCTGTCTTTCACCAAGAAATTACTATTTATTGAAATAGAAGCATGTTTCAAGTAATGTAGCCTATTTTTAACTTCCGAAGCCTGTGGAAGTGAATAAAGCATAGGTTATTTAAAAATAATTCATATGGGGATTGAAAAGCATTTCCCTCCTTGCAGACTGTCTTTCAGTACCCCACCTATGTCCCCAGCCTGACTGTCAGCTGCCAACACCGCATTTCTTTGCCTGAGGACTTTCCTCTGGCTACAAATGCCCATTTTGCCTGCCCAGGAGGCAGGCTGGAAGTTCCGAGTTGACACCCCCAGGAACAGTCCTCAAGCACTGACTGGTGAGTGCTGGTACAGGACGATTTCTCAGGCCAGCTCACACCTCAGGTCAGGTAGCTCTGAAGTTTGTGTTCCACTGGACCTCTAGCCTTTCCCTGGTGGGAACAGACTCAACAGCCCACGTGTGCACTTGCTTATAACATGTTCTTTTTGGCTGCCTTCTCTCCATCTCACTTCCTGCAGTGCTTTCTTCACCTCCCAAGTAAATGACTTGCTCTAGAATCGCTCTCTCAGGATCAGCTTCTAGGCAGCCAAGCTGGGTCACTTTCCCAACTGTACTTCCCTCATGCTAAAATCACTTTGTGCTTCCTGAGGGACAAGTGGGTAATTCAGAAGTGGATCAGCAGAACCTAGCCTTGCAAGGATAAACACTGACCACAAATTGAACCCATAAGATAAACTGATAGTTGATGACATATGTAAGAACATGTGGAGATCTGGGGAAGGGAACACTAAAACAGGATCAATAACAGTTATACAACTTTAAGTTTTTATTTACTACCTCATAATTAATTTTGTTTGGATAAGGATCCACATTTCTGTTTCAATTTACTTTTCTTCCAGCATTTGCTTATATTAGTACTTGGCAAAAAGTTTGTAGAAAAATAAATGTGCTTTACTGAAATAGTGATGCTTATTTTGGCAACCCTTCTCTCACGAGGAAGGCAAAGCTAATAGCAATTGCATTTATTTATCTAGGGACACTGATCTAAAAGGACATATTTTTGATAGCTTGTATTGCAATCTCAACACTGAAAATGCACAATTAGATGGTACTATGCGAAACACTGAAGATTTACCTTAATCTTACTGAGCTTCTGGATTTCCTGTATGGCATGAATTCCTGATATCCTATTAGCAAGTTACACCTTTTTAACTTGGAACCATTAGACAACAAATCAGACTATTTTTGAAGAATTCCACTATAGTTGCCAACGAAGGTAGAAGCTGCCAAATTGTCTGGAAGATTGTTTTAAATTTTTGGAAACTATAATTAGGAACATGTGATGGAAGCTCTGGAAAGTGGCTATTATCGCTTTATTTATTTGATTCATATGAGACAAATATTTTTCTTTCACATGAATGTTCTTCTACCTAAGAAAATGCATTGCATTCCTCATAAATCTTGTCAATGAATATTTCAAGATCACTTAAAAAGTTTTGAGAGGCCGGGCACGGTGGTTCAAGCCTATAATCCCAGCACTTTGGGAGGTCGAGGTGAGAGTACTGCCTGAGCCCATGGGCTCAAGAACAGCCTGGGCAGTTTGGCGAGACCTCATCTCTCCAGTAAAATAAAAAAATTAGCCAGGCGTGGTAGCATACACCTGTAGTTCCGCCTACTTGGAAGGCTGAGGTGGAAGGATCACCTGAGCTCAGCAGGTTGACGCTGGGGTGGCCATGAGTGTGCCACAGCACTCTAGCCTGAGTGACAGAGTGAGACTCCAACTCAAAAAAAAAAAAAAAAAAAGACAAAGTTTAGAGAATCTGTTTTAAGAAAATATTAACATCCAAGTTATAAGTTGGCATTTTAAATCAAAGGGGAAATAAAAATGGAATTACCTGACCAGACTACATTTTAGAGAAAGACCCACTCCGGAAGAAGAGGGAGAAATGAAGGCAGGAGAAGCAGGTTTCCAATCAACCAGAGACCAAAGAGTGGAGAACAGAAGTCAGCTGAGAAAGACATGGTTGGCTTTGTTTTGTTTTTAAACAAAAAGAAAGACAAATTAGCTCCTGACTGCTGCATAATATGTAGTTTAGACACAAAGAATAGACAAACCAGCTAACACAGACATTCTCAGAATTGAATTCCAACTACAAAGTTACACCTAAATCCTGTACATTCTACCCACAAATAGCAGATGATGTCCCAGTAAGGAATCTGGTGTAGATTAATGTTTAATTTTGAATAAGTTAATTTTCAGGGACCCAGAGTAAGATTGATGAGAGAAGGAAAACAATTTTTTTCAGTATATAAAGATTTTCCAATTATACTTCCTGTGAGCCCTTAGGCAAAGAATCTCAAGCTGATTAATTTAAATGGCTCAAGGAATTGCACTCACGAAGGATTTGCAAACATTTCCACTTTTTCTTTTTAAATTGGAAAGTAACAATAATTTTGTGACTTTGGAGATTATATGCGCAGCCAATGGATGCAATTAAATGCCACTGTGGCTTAATGGCACAGTGGCCTAGGATTTGAAAAGTTTTTCTTCTCCCTCTAGAATGCAGGATTATGACAGTTGATTCTCAGCTCCCTTGGGTACCAACAAAGTTATAAAAGTCAATTTAACAGAGTAAGTTCAGTAAAGTTTCTTATTATAGTGATAAATGCAAGGCAAATATCATATACATTCAATGGAAAAGTTTAAAAAAATTTATTTTTTATAAGATAGCTACACTTAGTATACTAAGAAAAGTTTAGATTTTTCAAAAACATCACATATGTTTTTCTAATTTCAGGACTTTCCTTTGAAGGTGCTGATGACAATATTATAGCAATTATTTCAACAACTATTCAAGAACTGCATTTTTGTGCCAAGTTATAGAAATTAGGCAGATTAGAACATATGGGTTCAAAATAGCCAGCACACACATTCTTTTGGGAATAAGTTTAGGGGTGCTCCTGACAAAGAAATGGGGAGAATAATTTGACCTTTCATTTTCAAATTCCTATCCATAATTTACAGACTAGGAGCTGCACAAATAGACCAGGATTCTGGTTAACTCCTCCAAGTGAGGGTGGATGGGGATTATTTGGTCCGTTTTGCCCTCTGGGCAATCGTGGTGCAGCTGCTCAGGCTGTTCTGAACCGGAATACCTTGTCTGTCATTCAGCAGTGACAGCAGAGAACAGTTCTGTCTTTCCCAGGCTAACAGACCAACCACTTGTTTTCATCTGCTGCTAGAAGCTGAGAGGTCAAAGATATCCAGGGATGCCTGGAGCGACTTACAGAAGGTTTGGGCGCAGGTGACTTGTTCCCATCTGGGGTTTTTGTTAGCCATTCATTGATGCGGCTGGAAACCCCCACTTTCAGGCCAGCAGTTTCCTACAAAAAGTCAATCATCCAAAATGTGAAGGAAAAAGGTGAACTTTACCTGGGAAGGAATCTTCAAAGCAACCTTAACATATCATTAAGCATTACTTCCCACAGCCCTAACCCTTTAAACTTGGTATGTAAAGACTGCACTATATGGTTTTCTCTTCCCCGCACCTTACCCCACCCTAGCCACGAGGGTTGACTATTCACCTCAGGCACTTCATTGGGAGAGCCACAGCCAGAGCTTAGTACACAATGTGCCCTCCTGAACACATTCCCTTGGAGCTTGCTTCTGTGGTCATTCCGAAACAAACCACTACACCTTTTTTACTGCTTTTATTATTTACTAGTGTGATCCCATTTAAAAAACGGGGGAAAAAAAACAATGCACTGCTCTCAACTTACAAGAGAACAACCCTGTGCTCACCTTGTTGGGTGTGCCTGGTGCAGTAGGGGAAGAAAACACGTTTCCTTTCTCCCACATGCTCTTGATGTTGCGCACACCTTCGGCAGGAACAGGGAGGTCCGAGGCTGCCGGCTTCGTGGGTTTTGCAGTTTTAGTTCCCTGAAATTTGTGAATTATTTTCAGCATCGGTGCTGAGAAGTTTGTCCTCATGAAATTTATATAAAGTAACACCTTCACCAAAAATGTGTCATAATTTCTGTCACAGAACTGCATTCTGATGACATATATCCCTCAAAAGAAACTGTAAGAGCTAGATTGGAGGATCTTTCAAAAATGAAATGTGCTTTTTGTTGGGACACCCTTTTTTTTTGAGTCAGGTCTCACTCTGTTGTTTAGGCTGGGGTGCAGTGGCACGATCATGGCTTACTGCAGCTTTGACCTCCTGGACTCAGGCAATTCTTCCGCCTCAGTCTCCCTAGTATCTGGGACTACAGGTGTGTGCCACCATGCCCAGCTAATTTTTTAATGTTTTGTAGAGATGAGGTCTTGCTATGTTGCCCAGCCTGGTCTTGAACTCTCAGGCTCAAGCAATCCTCCTACCTCAGCCTCCCAAAGTTCTGGGAAGGTGACACTCTGTTTCTTCAACAGATGCTTCCTAAATGCCTACTGTGTGCAGGGCATTCTGCTAGGCTCTGGGGATACAGTGGTGCTCAAAACAAGATAATTTGCTCTGTAAGCTGCAGTGAGCTTACATTTTAATAGGAAAGAGAGACAGTAACTAGTTACACAAGTGTTTCATGTGTGGTAAGAGCTATGGAAAATCATGGAGTGCTATAAAGCATGGCAAGAGAGCACACAATAGGGGGAGAACACTTAGCTGGGGGTACAAAGAAAGCTTCTCTGAGGAAGTGACATTTAAACTCAGATCTGACAGAAGACTCAAAAGTGGTGAACTAAACAGGAGGAGCAAACTCCATTCCAGGCAGAAACAGCTTGTGTAAAGGTCCTGAGGCAGGGAAGTGCTAAAAGACTGAAAGCCCCAGATACCACTGCATGGAGCACACTAGAAGGAGGAAAGAATGGATTTAAGAAAGAAGATACTCTCCCGCCAGCAATGACGGCATATACCGAATGGCACAAGTTTCTCTCCTGGTTCTACTCTGAGTCCTGTGGCCTGTGGCCTGCAGTCAAAACGGCCAGCCAGGATGAGGCATGCCATCAGGAGCATGGCCTGAAAAACCACCTCACCAGACTATGCAATCCCTAAAGCCACAGTCTTGGCATCATTAGACCTGTCTGTGCTATGACTGATTCAACCACAGGAAATAACTACCTCTTATCTGTCTTCTGTGTTGGTGGACATTTAATTTTGTGAATAAAAATCACATCTTTAGTGTGAAGACCTGATCATTGATTTGGTAAACCATCAGATCCTCCTTTCTTTCTTCCTCTGATAGTTTGTAAGCTATTCTATATGTATCTCCACTCCTGCTGAGTGGAAAAAAGGAAAGAGAAGAGAAAAATCAAGTCAAATGGATCTAGTTATTTCACGGCAGGTGCTCTGATACAGAGGAAGGCTGAAACCATTGGCAAAATCCACAAAGAAACAAAGCCAGGATCCTGTCTTGAACGACACTCTCCTGCTTAGTGCTCTGGTATGTGGAAATACACACTATTTCCAAACAGAGTAAAACCCCCGGGTCAACTGGGTGGGAAAAAAGGTTGGAGTAGACAGAGGCATAAAACTATGGTCCTTCAAATATAAAACAATCCATTTCAAACTGGTGATGATTAAACTCAGGTTGGTTATCATCTTTACATTAGGTTATATGACTACTTTTATTTGATAATAAAAGGTTTTGTAAACAAAAAAGGATTCAGCAAGACTGTAAAGGACCTATTTTTCTTTTTTTTTTTTTTGAGTTGAAGTCTCACTCTATTGCCCAGACTGGAGTGCAGTAGCCTCAACCTGCTGGGCTCCGGCAATCCTTCTGCCTCAGCCTTCCAAGTAGCCGGAATGACAGATGTGCACTACCATGCCTGGCTAATTTTTAAAAATTTATTGTAGAGACAAGGTCTTGCCAAGTTGCTCGGGTGGGTCTCAAACTTGTGGGCTCAGGCAATCCACTTGCCTGGGCCTCTCAAAGTGCTGGGATTACAGGCTGAGCCACCGAGCCCAGCCGTAAGGGACCTATTTAAACCACATATGGAAACACATTTCATAAGGAATTAGGATATTGGAAATATACCTGTGAACATATAAATAATAAAGTTAAATAACCCATTCATTAAAACAATAAACCCATTCATTAAAACAATAAATGCTTCATTAAAGAATATTCAGACCAAAAGTAAATAATAATCTGTTTAAAACTCTTCTATAATATATCTATTACTGTTACTGTTCTCTACAACTATTTCAAAGTGTAATAAAGCATTTTTAATACTCAAATGTGACTGTGGCTGGTGGGCCTGATTATTGTCCTCAGCGTTTCTGTGACCTTCAAGACAGTCAGAGCCTGTTTCTGTTTAGTAGGGCTGTCATGCTGAGGGCAAGTCTCACCTCAATGGCACTGGTGTACTGCTCTAGTCTGCTGTCAATCTTGGAGACAACTGCCGCTTGGTGAGTTGATTTGACACCACTGCTAAATAAACACACACATATAATTAAGATATCTTCACATACATATGAAAGCTAGCTAATTATTTTCACCAACCCACCATATTTACCTTTTCTGCACAGACTTATTCAAAAATTCTGCGCGCTCTTCTATCTAGGAATTAAAAAAGAAAATAGATCCAGTTAATATTTTCAGCTTCTACGCAATGTTTCTCAGCCCAGGCTACCACTGCCCCTGAAGCTAGGGCATAAAGACACCAAAGAGCACAGGAGGGCATCAGGGTTCCATGCATGGCAGCTCTGCTAGAGAAGAACACTACATATAAAGTTTCTGAAAGTGAGATTTGAGGGATAAAGGCAGGAGTAACAAAGGATGGAGAAAATGTGTGGAGAAATATCAAGTTTTGGAGGCAAATTCAAGACCAGAAGGAAATAGAATGAAAATGGCTCTGAAATAATAAAAACCAACAGCAAAATAATTAAATTTGAAGACTAACATTTTTTCAAAAACACACATTGTTACTCTTTAGGACATATTCATATGATGGAGACATACAATCCTATTTGATTAACAAATCTTCCCCACAAAGTTTTACCTACGTACTTGGCATGTAGGTATACCTAGGAAATGTGAACTAGTCTCTTATTGCTCAGCCTGATTTCCTAACTTGACAGGGGTCAGTCAAGCCTACTGTTGAACTTAATTTACTTTGGAACATAAAAAATGGAGGTGAGGTAGAAAGAGGACAGAGCATGGCTCATCTGTAATAGCTGAGGCTCCCCACGAAGCCCCTTTAGCTCCAGTAGAAAATAAGGAAATAAGCCCAGAGAAACCATGATGGACACTGCTAAATGGGCAGTTCAGGAGTCTGATGGATTCTTTTTTGTAAGCTAGGAAATTCTTTTTGCTACAATGCAACCTGCTAAATCAAACACTGTATTGTACTGAAACTATATCACTTAAATTTAGATGTCAGCAACAAGTCAACAAATACTTGTTGATTCCATGTGGTACTCAACTCCAAGCTAGAAATTCCTCCGCCACCCATCACCTGTCAATATCAGCAAATGGTAAAACCTTCTGTGCATGTGACTGCATAAGCCCAAGCACACATGTGCTGAAGAGTTCCATTTTCTTCCCTGTTGAGGGCAGCCAAGGAATCTACTAGAATACAGTGACCCCAGGTTAGTATGGCTGAGTGTCCCATTGTCTGTCAGTTCAAGCTAATGTAAGAAATTACCATCAACTGGGTTGCTTAAACAGCAAATATTTATTTTTCACAGTTCTGGAGGCTGGGAAGTCTGAGATCAGGTTGGGGTCTGGTGAGGGCTCTCTTCCTGGTTTGCAGATGGTCACCTTCTTCCTGAGTCTCTTTCTTTAAGGGCTCTAACCCCACTCATGAGTGTTCCACCCTCATAACTTAATTATTTCCCAAAGGTCCCAACTCCTATTACCATCACACTGCAGGTTAGATTTTCAACATATGAATTTTGCGGGGACACAAGCATTCAGGCCACAGCACACCCACAATCTTCCAAGATGCTAAGGGTTCTTTCCAACCTGGACTGGCCTGGGACTCATGAACAATTAATAAATATCACAGAGGTTTTTGGAAACATGCTTCCTTCCTGATATCAGTTAAATAACACTTTTATAGATATCAGTAAGAGTACTTCATTCTTTCCAACGATCTCTCACAAAGATAAAAGCAAAGTCTTACTACAAATAAAACTTTATTTTAAAAAGTGCTACATGCAGTCCTGAGCTTATGACATATAAAAAGTCTATGAAGTAAATATTATTTTCCTTGTTTTAATTATAAACTTAGAAGTATATTTTTATAGAAGAAGTTTCCAAGTAAATAAGGTGAAAGAGTTTACGCACTGGCACTTCTAATATTGCCTGCCCTTCCATCTGTCCATCCATCTGTCCATCCATCCTACTTCTAATCCCACCAGCCTGTCAGCCAAACAACCAACCAACAAGTTACATATTGAGTACCCTCTATATAGAGTTGAATACCCAACAATGAATACAATAGTACTAAGGATTGAATTGTGTCCCCCTAAAACTCTTATGTTGAAGCCCTAATGGCAGGGTGGCTGTATTTGGACAGGGGGCCTCTAAGGAAAGGATGAAGGCTACAAGGGAACGAGGTGTACCTTGACCCAATGGGATCGGTGGCCTCATGAGAGGAGACCAGAGAGCTCACTCCCTCCCTTCCACCACGTGAGGACAATAGGAGAAAGCAGCCACCCTCAAGGCAGGAAAAGACTCCAGCAGAGAGGTATTCTGCTGGCACCTTGATCTGGGGCCTCCAGAATGGTGAGGAATAAGTTTCTGTTGTTTAATCCACCCAGTCTGTGGTATTTTGCTTTGGCATCCTGAACAGTCTAAAAAAGAAAAAAAATCCCATTTTTTAGTAAGCACACAATTTAGTAGGGAAGACTAGTAGAAAATATAAATAGAATATTTAAAAATCAGTGGTAGGGCTGAGTGGCTCACACCTGTACTCCCAGCACTTTGGAAGGCCAAGGTGGGAGGATTGCTTGAGGCTGGGAATTTGAGACCAGCCTGGGCAACATAGGGAGACCTAGTCTCTACAAAAAAGAACAAGAAAAAAATAGCTGGGCATGGTGGCTTATATGTATAGCCCCAGTTACTGGGGTGGCTGAAGCAGGAGGACTGCTCCTGAGTCCAGGAGTTTGAGGCTGGGGTAAGCCGTGATCGCCACTGCACTCCAGCCCGGGAGATAGAGTGAGACCCTGTCTCAACAACAATAACAACAAAAACTCCAAAAAACAAACACAACAGTGGCAGGTACACTACCAAAGAAGAAAATGCTAAGCCTGTAAGTGAAGTAACGATTTGGGGGTATTGGAGAAGGCTTGCCAGTGGTTTTGGTATTTGAGCTGAGATCTATAGTTCCTAGTTTACACGGTTTCATAAACGAGTTTCTGAACGTGAGGGTGAGGGTGGTAGTCCACGGGTGAGAGAGAAAAGGGCATTTCCAGCAAAGTAAACACCTATACAGTGACTCGGGGACCTGCAGAGTCATGATGCCTGCAGAGTAGTGGGACCCAAAGAATAGAGAAAAACACCCGGTGGAAGGATGCAGGCATGGGGGAGACAGCAGAGGCCTCGCTGGGGGTGGTGGTGGGGATGTGGAGAAAGCATCGCAGGGGTGGGAGGGTGTGGTGGAGGCATGGGGGGCGGCAGAGGCATCGTGGGGGAGGGCAGCGGAGGCATGAGGGTGTGGTGGAGGCATGGAGGGGCTTGGTGGAGGTATGGGGAGTGGCAGAGGCATCACAGGGGGTGGTGGGTTGTGGGGGAGACATGGGAGGGCGGCAGACTGCGCCTCGCTCCCCCCCAAGCTTCTTTCTGACTCAGGGATCATCTTTTTGACCTTGGCCATCACGTTCCTTCAAACCACAAAGGCGCCAGACTCCGGCCCCTCCTCTGCCTCTACCATGGCTATTACAGCTTGACTTCATCATCACACTTGTCAGGATTCGCCACCCACTTACTGGTGCACCCTTGCTGGAAAATTCCCTAACTTAGTGTCTCTAAGTAATGTAACAATTTGTACCGAAACTGTAAACTAAATCCTCTGTGGAAGGAGACAGTAAAGGAAGAGAGCCGGTTCTTCTGAAGACCAGGAGATGGCAGTGCTGTCTGGATAACATTCAGGGAACGAACCATGCTATCAGTTTTAGGAAACTGGTTTTCTGGGCAACCCCTTCAGGTCACCTCCCACGGTGGGAGCTTTTCTGTTCTCTCAATAAATCCTGCTTTCTAAAAAAAAAAAAAGAAAACTGGTTTTCTCTACTTGACACCTATCCCTCTCACAATCTATAAAAACAATTTTTAAAAAACTTGAATTTAATTTATTTAAAATTTATTTGGTGTGTGTGTCATATAAGAAAATCATTCACTGCTAACATAATTTAACAGTGAAAAAACAGATTCAAAGTTTTCCAAAGAAGTCATGAAATACTAAAAAAAAACTAGTTGATAATATTTTGAGGTGAAATAGCAAATGTTTTCTTCCATGGATATTATACATGTGAACTTACGATCATTTATACAAGTTACAGGATCCAGAGTATCAAGAGATATTGAAATTCAATTGCAGAATATGAAATTGAGCTTGAAAATCAGAGTCACAGTCAGTTCCTCAAGGCACATACCATGGAGATAAGCATAGACTGCTCCTGAACACATGTCTCTCTTATATGGAAATGGAAAATATTCTGGTCCTCTTTTATGCATCTACTGTAATTGATTGCTGACACATGCCTCCCCGCCAGAGGGAGCAGGTGAAATGGCTTCCTGGGAGGACTAGATGAAATGGGAAGACACCTCTGGTTGAGGGAAAGACCAGAGAAATTAGTATGCTGAGAAATTTGGTAGAGAAGAGATAACTGACGAGGAGGAGGAGGAGGCTCAGGTGAGATTTTAAGGAAGGTAAAAAGAGAGAACATAATTGTCTTTGATTATTGTAGAGCCAGGAACAAAAGACCAAGGCTGGGAAGAGGCTGAACTCGGGGTTCTGCACAGAGACGCCCTGAGCTGAGGGAGTGTTTTGCTCTCAGCAATTTCTTCTAAAGCTGGGGTCTGCAAACCACAGCCTGTATGCCCACTGGCCAAATGCAGACTGTGTTTTTCACACAGCCCCAAGCTGAGAATAATTTTACATTGTTAAATGGTTGGAAAAAAAGAAAATAATATTATTTCATGACATTAGAAAATTGTCTGACATTCAAATTTCAGTGCTGGTCGTAAAACAAAGCTTACCTGTTCCACAGAGCCTCTTTCTGCTCATTTTACTCTGCTCTGAGATCTGCACTTGGTTACCTTTGCAACTCTTAAATCATTTCCCGTGAGGCAGTCAACTATATTAGTGCCACAGGGGCAGCCACCTCTCTTTGTACTACTTTTCCTCATCGTACACAGTACGACTATATTAGGTATGTTCTAAATATCAAATATTAGATCACAAAATCCTTCTGTGGCGTAATTTAGATTCCTCTGAAGCAAAACTTAAGATGATGGTTCAAGTACAAATAATTTATTTGGAGGGTGTGAGAAATATGGGATCCAAACCATCATAAAAACTAAGTGGAGTCATTCAGAGATAAAACATTCTGATTTCCACATGAAACAGGTAAGTGACTGGCTTTGGTCATTTTAGTGTGCCACAGAACATGACCTCACACACACACTACTTAATCATCTGGAGCCTGACTACGATTCTGTCCTGGCTTTGCCCATTGTTGGAGCTTTGTAACCTAGTGAGGATGATGGAAAATGAGGGTGGAAAAAAACCGTTTCCACCCTCTGAGGATCCATTCATTTAACAAATATTTAGCATCTTCAATATGTAAGGCACCTTGCTGGATGCTCAATAAATGCCAGCCCTCAAAGCAAAAAAATCTGTTTGTAAATAATGGCGATGTATTATAAATCATGGATAGTGCTGTCTGGAGTCTGATGTATTTTCCCTCCATCTCAACTTTCTATCACCTCCTGACTCAGCTCCTTCCTGCTCCTTCTCTGTCCTCTTGGCAGCACTGTCTTTCATCAATCAGGAGCTATGCTCCATGAAGGCAGGTGTAGGACCAAAGTCATCCTGGCAAGGGCCCCATTCAAGTCCCATTTCACATTCTCCCATGATAACTGCTCTAAAATCTGCACCTGCACCATTTCCAGCTGTTCGGTTTTCAACAATGACAAAGAAACGAACAGCCGGCATGAAAAGCAGCTTAAACCCTTATAATGTATTTGTCTAAATGCTTCCATTCTCAATTGCTCAAAGCAATAAGGCACATGAAGAATGTGGATCGGTGAAATTCTAAATCACCGAATGTCATGTACATTTCGATGTCAATGTTAATCACCAATGTTAACGTACAGCAAGTCATCTAGTAAACAACTGATACAAATGTCACCTCTTTCTGTCCTTTCCATGTGAAGCTGTAAAACAGCTGAAAAGAAATGATCTGGTTTCAATATTTGAGTCCCTCCAGAAGTCATACGTTGGGATCAAACCTCCGCTCTGCTGACATCAGAAGGTAAGGCCTTTGGGAGGTGACTAGGTCCTGAGGGCAGAGTCCTTGAGAAGGGGGTTGGTGCCCTTATAAAAGAAGCTGAGGGGCTTGTTTCCTCCCCTTCCCCTCCCACCATGTGAGGACACAGGGAGGAGGTGCCATCCATGAGGAACAACAGACACTGAATCTGCTAGCACCTTGAACTTGGAATTCCCAGCCTTCAAAACTATAAGCAATGAATTTCTGTCGCTTATAAATTACCTGGCCTGAGGTGTTTTGTAATAGCAACCTGAACAGGCTAACACAGAAGGATAGTAAGAGATCAACGAAGCAAAGGCCTTGAATCAATGATGAAATAAGAAGCTAAAACCGAGTTCTTACTATGCTATAACAGACGTGTCACAAGAAGGTTTTCTGGGGGAAACAATACCTTGAGAGATGAACCTTTGGGAGTGAAGCACTTGAAGGGCTTCTTGTCATCCGACAGGCCGTCTTCTGGCATCTTCTGGCGTTTCTCAGCAGCCTCTGCCCTTCGCCTTTCAATCTCCTCCTTTAGTCTCCTCTTCTCCTCCTAAGAGAAAGAACAAACAGCACAGACACCAATATCAGCTCCAAGGCCAAGGGGAAGAGTGTACAGAAGAAAGAGCGTATTCAGAGAGGCAGCAGACACAGGCCCTGGACCGGACTCTGCCCTCTCCTCCAGCGTGGCCACCGGAGGTGAAGCCTGAACGCCAGTGTCCAGTTGCTGGCATGTGCATGCTGGTGTCGCCACTTCCCAACTGTGGAGCCATGGCCATATTATTTATCGGCTCTGTGCCTCAGTTTCTTCACCTGTAAGACAGGGATGGTAATAGTACCCACTTGGTGGGGTTTTTGTGAGGACTAATGAGAAAGCACACATAAAATGCTTATCCTAACACTCGGAGTGATGATCACCACCAAACTCCAAGACATGAACATGAACTTCTGTGTCTACATATGTAAAATGAATATGAATATCCCTGCCACCTGCTTCCTAGGAGAGGTGCAAAGACAAAAAAGATCACTTAAGTGAAAAGTCATATAAATATACAGTACTATATTTGCCAAATTGCCTAAGAGATGATTTTATGGCTGCTCTTTGCCTCAATTCAATAGGTTTTTTGGATGATTTGACAAACCTGAAATGAGGTGGTGCAGATGTTTACAGTCGGCTCACTGACTCCTCGGTGCCTTCGTTCCTGGCCTAGAATATTCTGCCCTGTCTTCTCTATCAGTCAAAAGCTTCAGAGCTTTGATCAGGTTGCACATCTCTAGGAATGATTTTCTGAGTGATTTATTCAGACTTTAAAAAAATTTTCAAACCATGAGACCATTATCACTGGATGGTCTCAAGCAAAGACTAGATGTGCATCTGTCAGAGGGTGTTGCAGAAGGATCCTGTGCTTGGTAGGAGGTTACAACAAAGAATCTCCTGGGGCCAATCCAGTTCTGAGAGTTCATGATTTCCCTTCTGCCTTCCCTGACACTTTCTTTCTCCAAATAATAACAACAACGACAATAATGATAACCACCACTTTTTCTGTGCTTGCAGTGCACCAGGCACTGTCAATACAATGATCAATTTAATCAACAAAACAATCTTGCGAAGAAGATATTATTTTACAGGTAAGGAAAAGAGACACAGAGCAGTCCAGCAACACTCCCAAGGCTTATGAGTGGCTGAGCTAAGACACAAGCCCAGGTATATTTGACTCAGAAACTCTTCATCCCAACTACTTTCCAACCAAAGGTCACTGGCCCATTGGAAGTTAGAGTAGGAAAAGACCTTGGAATAATGCATCCAAATTTTCCATAAGTGCATATAAATCTTGTATAGGATACCTGTCAGAAAGTCACAGAAAGTCTTTTTGCGCATTTTGAATGCTGGGCGATCACTATCTCAAAAGCTCGAAGCTCAGAATTGGAAAAGCTGGGTCTCGATACTGATCCTACCACTGATTAGTCAAGAATCTTCAAACAAGTAACTGGAACCATTTGATTCCTGACTTCTTTGCCCATAAAGTGAGAATAATAATGTGCCTCAGGATGTAAAAAATAACACATTTTGTAACCCAACAGTTGTAATTGGTTAAGCATTGTTTTCATAAGCTGAACCCAAATTTTCCTCCCTGTAACTTTATCTGTTGTTTTTAGCTCTGTCTTAAAAGATGGAACACATTAGCCTGTCCCTAACAGTAGGGTCTCTGGGGCATGTCGCTGCATGGGGTTCCGGGGACACGGTTCAGTTGGAGGCCTGCTTCCTAGGAGAGGTGCGAAGACAACTAAGATCGCTTAAGTGAAAAGGCGTATCAATCAATCTTCGGTACCATATTCGCCAAGTTGTACAAGAGATGACTTTATGGCCACCCTTTAGAACCTAATCTCATCTAGCGAACCTAATTCAAAAGATTATCTGTATGAACTGGCAAACCTGAGACGAGGTGACATCGCACCCCAGCGGCGCGGTCGTGGTGGTGGTGGAACAAGGCGGACACTCTAACCCACTTACTCTTCCGCCAAAACGACAACAAAATGCCTTAAAAGGCTCTGCCCTGCGAAAGCTCGCCAAGCCTGGGGAAACTCGCATCGGGTGACTCAGAGCTTGCGACGGATCCGCAGGCCGCTTGCTCACTGTTCCTTTTCGGGAGGCCCAGCGGGTGGCGCCTCCAGGCCGGCAGGCGAGGCCCGCCCCCTCCCGCGCCGGCCTCCCTGTCGCCGAAGCCGGCCGGGCGGCCGCGTGGGCCGGCGCCCTTACCTCCTCCCGGGCTCGGCGGTCAGCCTCCTCCCGCTTCCGCCGCTGCTCCTCCTCCTCCAGGACCCTCCGCCGCTCCTCCCGCTTCCGCC